GGGGGCATGACCCCGGATCTGGGGTCACCAAAAAAAAAAAAAAAAAAGTTTGGGAACCACTGGTTTAGACCCTAGAGAACACTACTGGGAAAATTCAAAAGCACTTGCCAACAAGGCTCTCAAGGACTTTGCAAACGTGTTGGGGCCCAATGTTCCTACATCAATGGGATTTGGCCTAAATTGGGCATTAGGTGTCAAGATTTCTAGATTTTGGCCCTTTAGCTCTTACCGTTTGTATCCCAAAAGCAGCTAAGAAACACATGACCAATTAACAGCAGAGCTAGAAGAATGCAATTCATCTGACTCCCAGTTCTGCTTGCTGACTAAAATACATACATACCAAAACAATGGGCACAGCCAAAAAAGGGGTCAGTAAGAATTGTGATCAGAATCCCCCCCACACATACCCACCCCACCAACCATTTTGACTGGGGAAACTCGCATGACTAGTAAGTTCTCCCTTGCTCAGGGGGAGAGTTGTACCACAGCCTGCTGGCCCATATTGTAAACACAGCATGACAGAATGGCTCCCTGCTCTGCTTGGAAGTCTGCTGGGGTGGCATGCAGTGCAGCCAGAGCCAGCATGGTGGCCAAGGCTGTTTCCATGCAGGATTTTCCTTGGTACAGTCTTAGCATTCATTTACAGAATGAGGAAAAAGGGCAGCTATTTTGGTTATTATGTTCATGAAGGAAACACTCAAAGGTGGAATACAAACAGCCAAGATAAGCAGAAACGGTGGGCTGCTTGAAACTTATGCCAGGCACACAGTCTTCACCCCTTGCATGTCATTCAGCTCTCCTAGCATTGGGGCTGTGACTGAATATTCCCAGCTAGCCCTGGCAGGAAACTAAAACCAGTGCAGAGAGGGTGTGGACGTGCCTCAGTGAGGTTTCCTGAGCTCTCACTTTGCAGGGATCGTTTTCTTGTCACACACAGACTGCCAAATTGTTTTTATTCCCACCCCCTCCCTGCAGCTGTGGAACAGTCCCAGCCCTATGACAAGTTAGCGAAAACAGAGAGACCTCACATAAAAACTGATTTCATACAGAATCAAGAGTTGTCCCCATGGACGCATGAATGGGGGCAGAAGACAAATTACATACCATGTAGCTGCCATACGCATGGTCAAACATCTCCACGACCTGGTCCCTGGAAAGAGAACAGCAGAATGACAGCGGGAAGCCAAAGGCGCAAAACTACTTAAAGCAGCAGCCGTGGATCTACTGTTCAGCCTATTTAATGAAACTCCTCTGATCCCTGCTCCAAGAAACATGACAATAAATATCCAGCAGCAAACACGGCCCCATATTCAGAGCAGTTTATTAAGCTGGCGCTGAGGTATTGACCCCCTGCCCAACTAGTCATAGAAAAGAAAGGCAATCTAGACAGGAGTGTCCTTTACGTGTGGCAGGTTAGGGTGTTAGGTCTATGTTGCATCAGGGCTGACGGCAGCATCGCGCAGAACTTAGATTATGGTTGTCTGGGGCGGTTTGGACAGGGCTGATCCTGCCTCAGGCAGGGGGGCTTGGACTAGACGCTAGATGACCTCTAGAGATCCCTTCCAGCCCAACTTCTCTATGTCTCCGCCAGCAACAAACACATAGGATGTCACCGTGCCAGACAAAACATGCCGCTCAACAGACACAGCCATACGGCTTTGTACGTTTTTAGAGCCGACGCGCTGCAAACTTTTTATTTTTCACCACGGGCCCCGAGTTATTTGAGATCGGCGGCTCCCCAACTCTGACAGGTCGCGCGCCACCGACGTAAAACGATATGACCTTAAGTACCGCCGGCAAATTTCTCAGTGCAACTTTGAGTTTCGGTGCCACCTGGAGTACCACCAGCAAACGATCGTCTGATAAAGTAACGATAATACATCTGTTACCGCGTGCCACTGACAAGCTGCCTGTGCACCAGCGGTGGTGGCCGTGCGGCACGACGGGGAACCGCCGCATTGCATCATTCGGACTTTAACCTCTTTGGGGCACACGCCATCCCGTCAGGCTGCGCTCGTCACAGCCCGGGCTCCCGAACGCCACGAAACCGTGCTCGGGCAACGCAAAATAATCGCCGCGGGGACGGACGGAAAGCAACGGTGCGGGTCCCGGGAAGGCACGACAGCGCGGGCAGCCTGCTCCCGCGCGCCGCTCTGGTGTGGGGACGTTTCCAGGGGCACCTGCGCGCACGCACCCCCTCGCACGAGAAACATGCGCCCACGTGCGAGCAGGCGGACACGCACGTGCACAGCACACGCGTGCACACACGAGGCGGGCTCGCGCTCAGGTCCCGGCCCCGGCCCGGGGGGCTCCGCTCCTCCCTGAGCTGCCGC